TTTGCAGTTAAAAAAGGTTCAGTTCTGAAAGAAATAATGCCAACGTGTGACAGAAACAGCTTGTGGACAGAAAAATCTCTGTGGCAGACGACGAGACTGCTTTTCGCTTAGCCATCTGTCGAAACTTTTAAAGTCTCAAATATTCAGGATGCATTAGTCACCATCGCGGAAAATTGAACAATTTTCATTGAGAATTACCACAACATTCTTACAAATAATCTAAAAATGCACAGAATTTATGATCAAAACGAAATTTATGCTCGATGACCAACTCAAAAACTTTAAAATTTTTGAGTTGGTCATCAAGCAAAAAAAATTTCAATGGCTAGCTTTTGATATTGACGGTAGACTATTACGAAAATATCTTTTATCACCACATTCGTTTAATTTTTATATACGTTCGATTTTAGTAATTGTTTTAGTAGAAAAAACGATGATTTTCAATTCAAAACATAAGAAATATATTCGATATCTTATGCAGATGACACAGTGATTATTGCTCTGACAGCTGCGGCTTTGCTTGGAAAAATATATATTGCAATATCTATATATATATGGACATGTATGTCCCTATATTTCACTTTTTCGCCAAAACTACACATCGCACGTAAATGGTGTTTGTATGTGGTGGTAGCCCCAAGTCTCCATTCGTGCATAGGGGTAGTTGCGTCTCGATAGCTATAAGGGTGCGGGAGATATGAGGCTGAAAGTAGTTGAAAGTGGCTTTCTATTTCGAATGTTTTGTTCGAATTTGTTCGAATTTAATTCGAACATAAAATTCGAATATTGGTTCGATTATAGAACAATTGTAAACGTTCCAGAAACGTTGAAAATAGTTCGTTTGACTAAACGTAAATATTCTCTAATTAGTCTGGAAACGGGGACCTAATTCTTGCATTCTGTGAAAACGGGTAAGATTGGCTATAATGTAATTATCTTAATCTTCACTATCGTTACTTTATGCCAGGCGAAGCGGGTCTTTGCAGCTAGTTTAATAATAAATAAACAATTTGCAGCCATTTTAAATAACATATTACATAAAATTGTGCATTGTTGTCATGGGTTTTCAAGTTGTAAACTTTTAAATAATAAGAATTTTTAAATTATTTTCAACTACTTGTATTGAATTGTAACTTACAGAAGAAGACGATTTTGCTTCTTTTCTTTTTTTACGTGCCGCCAGATCCATAATTATATGCACTATCGTCTCGACTGATTCCTCTACGGTGATTTCTTTTTTATTACATAACACTTGTTCGTTTAAATTATTAACTTCTCTATCGCAATCTAATAATAAAAGATAAACACAATTAACACAGAAATTCGTAACACTTTCTTCGTCTGAATTCAAAAATTATATAAGAATTTACAAAAGAGAAAGAAAGCAAATAACAAACACTTTAATCCAAATAAATACATGAAATTGTTATTCTAGAAAAATATTTTGAAACTTTATTCTATAGCAAATTCACAAAAATTGAAATTAAAATTAAATATAAAAATAAATCAATTAATTTCTGCTTAGAAATTTCTTAAATTAAACGTGATATAAAAGCAAAAATATTGCGTTATTACTGGATTTATTAATTGTATAGAAAGTGTAAATTGTTTCAATCATAAAGTCAACTGAAAATGTAATATTAATGAAGAGTTATTTTTTGTCGAAGTAAAATAAACGGATATTTATTAGCGTATATTCAGAAGCTTACTTTATTTTCATTGATAAAATTTAATAAAAAGTCTGAGTAAAATGAGTTTTAAATATTCAGTTTTTAGATCAACATCAAAAATGTAAATAATAAAATGTTCATTTATATCTTTATACTCGAGAAACAACAATAAAAAGAAAGGGAAATCAATGGGTAATTTTAACCAATTAAAAATAATTGCCGCATTTGTTACTCTTTCGTTACAAGTTTTTTTTTTTCTTATAAATGAGCATTGTTTTCATTTATCTAGCGGTTAAGATCGATTTATTTATTCAACAATATCAATAGATAATCGAATAGACCACAACATTTTGTAAATATAAAATATAGCATTGCTCGGTGAGCAGAACCTGAAATGTACTCAAAATCACGTCGTAATTATACATTAAACACTGGTACATTTTACTGGCTTTTAGATTACAGCTGTGACAACTTTTCGAAACATTATTTTAACTTAACGAGAGATTTCAATCTTATTTTTGAATATCTTATCGTATTATAGAAATGTTTCTGTAATTTTTGTTTGCTTCTTTTTATTCATCTTAATGGAACCGAATATTTAAATATTAAAAAAGATCCAGAAGTAAAATAACAAATTTTTATTCATTCGCAGAAAATACGCTTGATGCTGTAATTTTCTTCGACAGAAAATGAATGCGAAGTTAAATATCGTTTCATATAGAAATTTTTAAATATTTCGCAGAAAATTATTATTAATGCGTGTCTTTGTATTTATTGTCAACAAGTTATAAAAAAATTTAATATAATTAATATTTAATACATTAAAAAGAATTTAACTTACTAATAATATCCATTTTTTTCAAGAAAATCGCTTTCGATAAGTTCAAGAATTCAATCACTTCAACAATACTTGAAAAACAATTCTTAAAATTTATTGTTTTTGCAACAATAACAATCGTGCTTATTGAATCATAGTCGAAGCGCGTGCTAAGCATTACGCGTGTCAATCAATTTTATTTTGAGTTTTTTTTTTCGTAAGTAACTGTAAAGAACGACGTGTGCCAATATAAATAAGGATATTTCTTTCTTTGTTCGCTATACATTTGTTTGCCGTTAGTACATTGCTCCTCGAATTTTCGAATGAATTTCTATAAATCAATAAATCATTTTACATTTCGTTTTCTTTGTTCAGTTATCGCGATGCAATACTTGGGGCCATCTGGCTAAAATATGCCTTCCAAGAGGGTTTTTAAAAGGAAACTGGCTTCTATTTCGGCATTACAGACGTGGAGAAAACCCGAAAAACTTTACGTGGCCAGCCTGTCTGAGCGGATCCACGACCAAACTCCCAGTGTTTAGGAACTCGTCCACTCGAACCCCAGTACCAAGACGAAGTTCGCTCGGATACGGAAAGGCTCCCGTTAGAAAATCACATGTTTCTTCATGGTGATCGTATCATGTCAGCACTTTTCCTGGCAAGTAACATTGACAAATTCCAATTCGCGACAATAATATATATCTAGTCCATTAATGGAGGTACAAATATAGTTACATATTTACTCTAAACAAAATTTCATTGAAAAACATAACCGTACTACATTGTTTGTCATTGTGATCGGATTACCACAGTTATTTTTAAATATAAAATTGATAGACGAGTCTATGATTTATAAATGCTTTTGTTGTTAAATTTTGTAAAGAGCTAAGAATATTTTTATTTTTGATTTTATTACTTCCTTTCACTCTATAATAAACAGAAAGTCATATTTAAGTAATTAGAATTGAAAATATATGAATATAAGCTAAATTTTACAGGTTACTTACAGTATGTTGTCACGTAAGTGATATCATTAAGTTAATAGAAAATCTAATAATGTCATTGAGAAATTCAATTCAAGTTCCTCGCCCAACTTGCTATCAACTTGAAGTACCAACCGAACTTAAATCTCCCGCTTCGACATCGACCTTATGTATGCCTTGCTAACCGTCTCTGACCTGAGACGGATTCGCCGCTAATTCAAACGAAACGGTCGCCTCTCGGCGGTACTGGACAATTTTTCTCGGCCGTTACCAGTTTAAAAATGGCGGAAATCGTGTTCTTACACGATTGTACCCCTGACATACCGGATAAGACACATTGAATGTCTATAGCGTTGTAGTATTGTATTGGTGTTTTAACATCGACCTTCCTGATATTAGAATATTGTTTTAACGATGAGCGATCTACATAGGAACAATGGGAATGATGACCTTTTTATATCCACTTGACATATTATTTATTGTAAAAATTACATCTCGAGATTTGTCCGATCTGCCCTTATACTCTAATGTGATAAAAGAGTGTTAAATATAATACTATTTAATGGTAAAAATACAGCACAGAAGGAATTATAGTGCAATTATGTAGTATGCTGCAATTTGCTTAGAAAATAATAAAAACAATTAGAAATTGCATATACTCCATAAACAACAAAACTGATGTTGTTATAAGTTTTAGGCTTTTAAGTCAAGCTTTCCTCAACGTTTGAAGAAGATTTACTATAGCTTGTGTCCAATCATTTTACAGATTGTTTTCTGATTTCAAACATGTACTGGATTTTAAAGTTGCATCGGTTAAGAAAATAATACCGAGCATTTCCTATTAGCGAAATAATCAGATTATCTATTTAACTTCGTTTTGGGAGTTAGATGAAATAAAATTTTGAATTGAAATAACTTTTTTCCGGTCTAAGCCGGAAATAGTATAGTTAGTTAATGGAGTCTACTTGCCCTATGCTTTTCATACCCGGTCTCAACTTTAATCTATCTAACCAGTTCTCGAGATCAAGGAAAGGGAGATACACAGACAAACAGAAAGACGACAGTTCAATCAGGAAGTCACGTTATTTCAATTCAAAATTTTTTACTGAAAGCTGTTATATAAATGATTGATACGACTCTATTGTTAATGAAAAAGTATGATGTAAGGGGCAAGCAACTACTAATTTGAAGTTGACAGTATATATGTTAAATTAAATAAATGAAAAATACCATAATAATTAGTATTTCGGCGTTGTGATTACGTCACATTAAATAGTTGCTCGTGTCTATTACTATCACAACGAGCGATTGCCATTAACAATCTTTTATAAGCGTGCACTTTAATAATAAAAATTTTTAATAAACCACCTGTAGAGATGATATTCATTTCATAAGAAAAATCCTTGACTTCTAATGTTACATTTAATAGAAATAAATATTTAAAATCGAAAATAATATAATTTAATTAAATGAAAAACGATTCTCCCTTACTTTGACGTCATCGTTTTGTATATAAACTCTTAACATCGCGAGAGTGTGGAAAATATTTTGGAACGATGAAGGTGCTGCTTTTGATTTTTCTACTTTCTGTCGGCGGTAAGTTATTTCTTTGTGTTTTATTTGTATACGTAAATACAGAAAGGAAATACTAGTGTACTTTATGTTACAGTATTATGCACGGCATTCTCAAGTGGTAGGATTTATTATTCACCTTGCAGAATTTACGAGGAATTGGAAAAACCAGAAAAATGCAAACCAAGGCAAATAAAAAGCGTTTGTCACCGCGATTGTATTGTAAGGAATAAAGAACTTTGTATTTCTATAGCACCCGCGTGTCGATGTTAATAATAAAACTGAGTGCTTGACAAAATTTCGTGATCAAATTACATTTAATTGCGAATCTTTACAAATTTCTTGCGTTATTCTATCGTGTTTTTATGATGTCTTGATCCGAAAATTGTGATTTATGGAACGCCTATTTATTCAAACGTTCGGAATAAATTTTTAAATAATTCTTACAGCTCACTGAAGTTACTTGTGTAATTAGTAATAATTCATTTGTGATAGTAACATTTAATGAATAAATAAAACGGGAATTCTGTGTACATTGCTCAATTGCATAACTGAAAATTTCGAAAATTTTTACATTTTTGGATTCGGTAACGTTGAAACTTTCAGAAATACAAAATAAAAATTCAAGGGTTTCTATGTTGTTTGGGGGCAAGGCTTTGTTCGCTTAATTTGAAGCTTAATAACTCTTGTGAATTTTTCGAAATTTTCAGAAATTTTGCAGGGACGTTTGCATGTTAGAAAGATTAATAATATTAAATTTTAGTTGTTAGCGGTCGAGGGACTGGAGAGATAGACGAGCTTGCAATTAAGATCGCAGGGTCGGCACCTCTTTACCGCCTTCACAGGATTACACCACTGTGTTTTGTGGACAGACACAGAAACCGAATTAGCCGTTTAATTTCGTTACGCGAGCGGTCGCGGATGCGGACTTTCGGATCCGGGATGTAGGCGGAAGGAGAGAACCAGAGGAAATGCACTTTCCAAACTTTCATATAAATAAAGATATCCGTTTATTATTCGATATAGACTATTTACAGATTATATTTGATAGATTCTTATCCGAAGCTAATCTGAAGCTGACATATTGCGTAACTACTATGACCCTAACAACGACTGATAACGAGAGACAGAGTTAACATTAATTTTGCGCGAGGATAAATACCTGTAGAATTCACAAAATTATAGTCGGTGTTTTTCACACGTAGGAAATCTTGAAGTGGCGACCAATTTCTTGAAGTGGCGGCAATCAGGAACAGTTAGGGCGGCGACGAATAGCAAACGTCGGCCAACACACGCACAGATCATAGTTAACTCCAGGACTCTGTCCGACTCGTCTGCCCCTTCTTTTTATTAGCGGGTCGCCATTAAGTTTTTCAAATGTTTTTTGGGCTAATTTTTCTTTCACCGTCCAATAGTTGAATTTTCTGTTGCCAATTCCGGGTGACACAATCGATGTATCAACTTCAACCAGGAGATAAGTCCGTGGGAAACTGTTCAATTACTTTTAAAAATGACGATTTTTGTTTTATCTTTTTAATTTTCTTTTTTTAACAAAAAATATATTTAAGCAAAATAATTTTACTAAGTTCGGCCCTTACACAATGATATTAGTTCATTTATGAAACCTTTACTCTTACGTTAATTTAAATTTCTTCAATTTAGTACTGTAGTTTAGTCTTGCTAATGGAAAAAAAAAACAATTAACCTTTACTAAAACAAGCAACTTAATCATCGACAAGCATTGTTTTCAAAGACTACCCATTTATATCAAAGTATATTTACTTAATTTTACGTACTTACAGCGTCATCCTACAAATTACAGCAAAATCTCGATTATCTACTCCTCTTCATACCTACTCCATTTGAATTGTAAGAGGTTAAATTCAGTTTCGGAAGTTCAACAAAATTTCTTTATTTTTTTCTTTCTTTGCTGTTCGTGTAATAAAGAGCATAAATATACGTAGTGTTCTGTAATTTACTGAATTTTATTGTACGTAAGTTTATTTTTATGCTTTCCCTGTACGGTAGATAAACAGTTGCTTCATTGTACACCACTGCACTTACTCCAATGTGTATTAATTGTGGATTGTAAATTACTTTTTCTATACTAGAAGAAAATATTATGTTATCTGTATATTCTCTAATTCATCGTGTCTACAGTCAAAACTCAGTACAAATAACACAGTTTATTTTTTTTCTTGTGATTAGTGTAATTTATGTTGCTGTTTACTTTGAGTTTTAGTGCAATTACTCACGTTCTACAGTAGTACAAAAATCAAACAGGGCATCAGCAAAACTTATGTATTTTATATGATATAAATACATTAAGGAGACTTCGTCTTCCTATTGTATTTCATTTTGTCGAGGAAGGAAGTGGCTAATGTAAATTCCAAAGCGGCTCGAAAAATTAATTTTTCGAGCCGCTTTGGAATTTACATTAGCCACTTCCTCTCTCGTCAAAAGTGCGAGGTAGACCTGTCGTCCGATCCTACGGAAAGAGGCACCACGCTAATTAAAAATAATTATTTAGTGTTATTAAACATCCTATAAATACTTTAAAATACTTTAATTTGTTTATTTACCTTCTCTGGTAACCCTCGATGTTAAATGTATCCGCCATTTTTTCAAGAAATTTCCGCTGAGTCAATGCGCGACGTTCACTGAGTCACGTGATGTTGTAAACGTCCGCCCCAACAATTTTTTCTTCGAGTTAAAACGTAAACCGTGTACTTCTGCTCGCCGTGTACAAGTAACGTTTGAACTTGCGTCGCAACCTCTCTATTGTTCTTCGCTAAACTCGGGTTTTCTTTTAGACCCTTCGGGGGACTACGGCCTTGCAGCCTAAAAACTGCTTGCCGACATCAAACATAGAAAATACTGTAGCCGTACGTACTCCGTTCAGAGGGATTCTACCTTTTATTTACTGTCTATAACTTCTCCCTTCTTCTTCCCCTTTCCCTCACCATTTTCTCTTTCTTACCCTTTTTTCGCCAGCTAAACACCTCGAGTACGGTCGTAGTATTTCTTGTGTGTATGTATGTGTGTATTACTATACGAAGGATTAAGAAATCGCTCGAGAAAAAATAAAAACATTGTCTTTACATCGAAAGTTGTTTATTATGTTCAAATTTTACAAATGTCAGTGTAAACGAGTAGATAAAAATTGTAGCTGATTTTAAGCGTCACTTGTGGTCCAAGTCAAATATTAATTCTTTAAACTCTTATACTGCCGTTCATGGAGCGGTCATGAGAAGCACATAATTATATATTTTCTTCTAGTCTTACTAACTTAATTCATTATTAAATTCATGCGGGATACAACTAAGGGCGTTGACCTTCAGGAGTAAATCTGGAATATGTCTTTCTTCTACGACATTCTTCGGCGTACTCCTAACTAAAGGCGTTAGCCTTAGGGAGCAAATATGGAATACGTTCGTCTTCTATGAGATCTGGTGTACTTCCCGAATATCGCAATACTCTTTCTATATCTTATGATTTTCCTCCGGTCAACCTTTTGGATTCTCTCACGTGAATAGAGGAAAAGGGGATTGATCGAGGGGTCGACAGTTTCCAGTGTGTTGAGATTTTTGGTAGATAAGGGTAAAACAGAAGGATGTTTCAACTTCTGTCAAAGGAAGTGACTTTTTAGCCGTTTCCCACGTTTGAAAAAACGATATTTTCACACGAAAAATTAAAGAATGTTTTTTTTTTTAAATTTAACATTATAATTAAATTATTAATTAGACACAGAGTCTATTCGGATCTCACAATATTAAAGTAAGTTAAGTTAAATAATAATAGTATAAGTTAAGTATAAATAGTAAGATTGCAAAAATATACTTCGTCATAATACATTTATTGATTTTTTATTATTAATTATTCGTATATAAGTTTAACTTAACCGGAAAACAGTGTAAAGTTCCTTGAATCGAGACTGGAAGTATCGGAACGACTTTAAATATGTATTGTAATTAATTGTATGTAAAAAAATGTTTATTTTTTACTTAGACACTTACTTTTGGAATTTAAAGTTAATTTTAAAAGTATTTTGTCAAAGCAAAGTAATAAAAGTTTAAAAACTATTAATGTGGTCTGAAATTGAATTAATTTAACATTTGAATTACTTTATTAATACACTTCATCACATAACTTACCGATCAAATGCGTTATACAAAGTGACAATACTGTTAAAAAATTACAAAACATTTTACAATAATAAAAAAATTATACATGATATTAATTTTAATAATTACATTAATTAATATTGATTTATGTAGGGGTAGATTCGTACACAATAAATACACTGCAGGCTGATCGAATTGTATTATCGCAAAAGAGATCGAAACGTCGTCACTTTAGCCAAATGCATTATTTACTATTAAAGGTTATAACTTACAGTATATCTTTCGTTTATAAACATATGTAGCAAAGCGAGAAATTTTCTGAATTTCACTACTTTAAAAAAACGATTTGCACGAACAAAAATGGGGTCTAAAGACACAAAATATACATTTTGAAGTTATTAAAAGCAGCAGTATTCAACTTTTATCCAACTTATGATTTGAGCTTTCTGTACTGTACATAGCACTAACGAATTCAATTGCGTACCACTGATTAAGAACTGCTGATTTAAACAATTTGCAGAATCTGTGTTTGTGGTATGATAAGTCGTGATTAATAGCCAAGATTGGTAAGTATATTAGTGGATGTAAAAATATACAGTTAAACGACCAATGTTTTACCAGAAATGTAATTAATTTCTGGAATTTATATTGTTACGTTTAATGTAAATTAAAGTTTAATTTATATACTTACATATGTGAAAATGCTAGATAAATAATACAAATATCGTATAATTGTGATAGTTGCTAGTAATAACATTATTCCTAAAGTATAATTCACAAATATTTGCTCAGATTTAATCACACGAGATCCGAATAATATCTCAAAGAAAAATACTAAAAGAGCTAAAGAAACTTACAAAAAGAGCTGAATAAAGTTACAAAATTTAAGAGTGTTTTTGCTATTTTGAAAACATTTCCAAACAACTTTTAAAGAAGAAACTTGATTTCTTTTTCTTCTCGAGTGAATTCTTGATGAAAGTTGCATCTTTTGTAATTCGCATTAGAAAATCAGAAGAAGTATTTGAGCAAAGTTATACCTTGCCGTGAACGTATAGCAAATTGTAGTTGAAATCATACAAATGGCTAATGTTATAGATCATTTGTAATTGATGAATGGCAAAAATACGT